CAGACTAAGAACGGTTCAGAAGCCCCTATGATGAGCATGCCAGCGAGGCCAGTTACGTCACGTGGAATGGTGTTACTGGAGCCCCACCCTGAAGCCAGGCCTGGGGTGGGTGCTCGACGGTGAGCGTCTGGTGGCTGGGCCTTCCCCCACGGGGCCCAGCCGGGCACAGCCCGAAGAAGTGACATGGGGCCACTCTTCCGTGGGCAGACCACCTGCGGGAGGATCCATATGGGACTGGTGCAAGGAGATCTGGGCGGCAGTCGAAGGCGGGGGCCTTGGCAACCGGATCTCCAGACATGGAGGCTAGCTCTGGGGACATGGAAAGTCACCTCGCTGGAGAGAATGGAGCTTAAGCTTGTGTAGGAACATTACCCATGCACAGTTTGGGCTCTGGAACCCAACCCCTTGAGAGGGGCTGGACCAGGGGTGGGCAAACTACGGCCCGGGGACCGTATGCGGCCCATTAAACCATTAAATTCGGCCGGCTGAACTTGAATCAATTTTAGTAATAAACCTTGTTAATGTTTTATTTTTCCTGCATTTCCGGCATTTCCCAGTAGATGATGCACTACATATACATTGAGGTGCAGCTTATTATTTTGGCCGCAATGCTTTATGGGAAAGTGTTCTTTTGGACTAGCTAGTGACAGGAGTCATTCTCGGTCGGTGTATTCGGACCATGAGTGAGGCAGAAGACATAAGGCTGCACTATTTCCATTCTGAAAAGGGTGAAAGTAAAGTTGAAAGACTTGTAGACTGCATATTAAGAAGTGTTTATGCAAAGAGTGTTATAATATTTAACAGAGCAGAAAGTGTTACACAGGTAAGATTTAGTTGGGTTTAGGCTAGTAGTGGAGTGTTGCAATCGCGTGAACTGGTCAGTGGAAATTAAAGTTTAGGGAGGTAGGCTAGAGAAGATATGGTGATGGCCACAACTAGATGGCTCCCTGGAAAGTAATTCGGAAGTATTCGTCTTCTGGGTCCATTTGCACTCAACTTTACATTGCAGTAACCGGGATAGTGCGTTTACACCATGACTAAAAAAAAAAAGATCGTAACCGAGATACTGATGTGCATGTATCCGCACTCATTATAAACAATGCACACCAGATCAAATATAACATGCTCGCAGACTGGCATGCTGGCACTGTTCCTTCCTTGCGTTGTTGGTCGTTGTTGAGTTTTGGGGACGCACATTGAAAAGAAGTAGATCTGCATCTTCTACTGTTTTTGAAATAAAGACAGTCAGGAGGAGAGTGATGATAAACACAACTTTCAGTGCTTTTAAATAGTAACTGTTAGTAATAATATATATATATATTTTAAAGTATTTTATTAATTTAATATTCAGTGTTTTAGAAAGACAGATGTTTTGTTGTGATGCTTTTTAATGACTTTCAATTTAAATTCAAGCACAGGTTTTCTACATATCTCATGTTATTTTTTTCTCTCCACGCCATCCATCTGCTCCTGGTCCGGTCCTTCCCTCAAATTTTAGAACCCTTTGTGGCCCCTGAACCAAAAAGTTTGCCCACCCCTGGGCTGGACTCTCCATTTCTCTGGCGTTGACCGCGGGGAGCGGCAGCGAGCTGGTGTGGGCTTATTGCTCCACAGCTCAGCTGCCATGTGTTAGAGTTCCCCCTGGTGAACGAGAGGTTTGTGTCCCTGCACCTTTGGGTCGGGGACAGGTTTCTCACTGTGGTGTCGGCCTATGGGCTGAACAGTAGTGCAGAGTACCCGGCCTTCTTGGAGTCCCTGGGAGGGGTATTAGACAGTGCACCGACCGGGGACTCCGTTGTTTTACTGGGGGACTTCAAAGCCCATGTGGGCAATGACAGTGACACTTGGAGAGGGGTGATTGGGAAGAACGGCCTCCCTGATCTGAACCTGAGCGGTGTTCTGTTACTGGACTTCTGTGTTAGTCACAGTTTGTCCATAATGAACACAACATTCGAGCACAAGGGTGTCCATCAGTGCACGTGGCACCAGGACGCCTTAGGCCGGAAGTCGGTGATTGACTTTGTTGTCATGTCATCTGACCTCCGGCCACGTGTCTTGGACACTTGGGTGAAGAGAGGGGCTGAGCTCTCAACCAATCACCACCTGGTTGTGGGTTGGGTCCGTTGGCAGAGGAGGAAGCCAGAAAGACCTGGCAGGCCCAAGTGTGTAGTGAGGGTCTGTTGGGAACGTCTGACGGAGCAGAGGGACCTTCAACTCGCACCTCCGGGAGGGCTTCTCACAGATTCTGGGGGAGGCTGGAAACATGGAGTGCGATTGGACTTTGTTCTGAGCCTATATTGTTGATGCAGCCACTCGTAGCTGTGGGCGTAAGGTCTGTGGTGCCTGTCCCCAAACCCTGTGGTGGACACTGGAAGTAAGGGATGCCATCAGGCTGAAGAAGGAGTCCTATCGGGCCTTGTTGGCTTGTGGGACACCTGAGGCAGATGACAGGTACCAACGGGCCAAGCGTTCTGTAGCCCGTGCGGTCGCAGAGTCAAAAACTCAGAGCTGGGAGGAGTTCGGGGAGGCCATGAAGGAGAACTATCAGACAGCCTCAAAGAGATTCTGGTAAATTGACTGGAGCCTCAGGAGGGGGAAGCAGTCCTTCACCAACACTGTTTACAGTGTGGGGGGAAAGCTGTTGACCTCGACCGGGGAAGGTATCAGGTGGTGGAAGGAACACTTTGAGGATCTCCTCAATTCCACCGTCACGTCTTCCGAGGTCTCTGGATGTTGTGGTGCTGTCTAGGCTGACACATCTCTGCAACATCACGTGGCGGTCTGGGGACAGTACCTCTGGACAGGCAAACCGGGGTGGTGGATAAGAAGGGGGACCAGAGGGTGTGTTCCAAATACAGGGGAATCACACTCCTCAGCCTCCCCGGTAAAGGTCTATGCCAGGGTACTGGAGAGGAGAATACGGCTGATAGTCGAACCTCGGATCTAGGAGGAGCAGTGTGGTTTTTGTCCTGGCCGTGGAACACTGGACCAGCTCTAAACTCTCCATAGGGTGCTCGAGGGTTCATGGGAGTTTGCCCAACCAGTCCACATATGTTTTGTGGATCTGGAGAAGGCATTCAACCGTGTCTCTCGTGGTGTCCTGTGGAAGGTGCTCTGGAAGTATACGGTTCAGGGCCCTTTGCTAAGAGCTGTTTGGTCCCTGTATGACTGGAGCAAGAGAGAAGAAAATTCTGAATAATCTTGTCTTACATAAACACAAAGGAACAGTGTGAAATGATGGAGTTGAAGTGTAGTGAATGTAACAGATTTAAATGACATGAGACATGTTTTCAGGAGAAGCTGAGCAGGGCTGGCTCTGGTTTGGACTCAGAGACTGCTGGGAAAACAGGCTCTGTCCTTCCTTGGATTCCACTTCAGTCACGTTGCCAGTATGAATGTGGTGAGTGACGGCTGGTGGTCAGAGGGGCTGATACACAGAGTGACAGTCTCACTTTCATCAGTCTGCCCCAGGGCAGCTGTGGCTACAGTAGTGGCTCATCACCACAGAGTGTGGAGTGAATCAATAATGAAGTCCTGTTACAAAAGTGACACTTGAATCTTTAGACTTCAGCTTTGTTTAGCACAATCTGACCAGAAAGAGTGAACTTATGTGGAGCTACAACAGGAGAGCTGTTTGTGCTGTTCAACAAGTCTCTCTCAACAACAGCACAGGCACAAGGAACCATTAGCCAACAGTTTTTCACTGAGTCACTCTCACTTTTAGTGTAAAATCAAACTCCTAAACAGGACCATGAACACTCAGACTGATCACAGGCTCCTGAGAAAGTGCTCTTTTTTCTTTAAATCCATTTTGTGTTTTCAGAGTAGTGCTTTCAGCTAGCTTCAGAGAATCTGTACAAATGAGATCACAACATTCCTTATTTTTAAAAGAAGTGGCAACATTATACGAGTGTTGTTCTTCTGTAGACAGTTGTTTAAATCCAGTACCTGCTGTATCTTTTTGGAATATTTCAAACACTTCGCTGGGAAACGTTGTCAAATTCCACTGCTCTATGAAACGCGAGGCTTAGGTCACATGTTCAAACTGACACATTTTATTGGTTGAGTAAATACATGACTTTGTAAATTTGTCTTAATTCAACATCTAAAATGTGCATTTATTACTTGTATGTGTGTGTATGCATTTGTTTTAAATGCATTTTTAATACAAGACAAATAA